AAAAAAAAAAAACATTTTTCGTCACACGCAACGTTGGTGGCGCAACTGAAGATGTACACCAGCAGAGATAGAATTAGTGTCCATATGACATTCACGGTGCGAATTCGATCCTTGGTGCCTTGGCCCCGCTCCTCCTCGCCAACAAAATAGCAACAATAGAGAAAAGCCCCATTGTGAAGCCACCTGCACCCCAACTGCTACTTAGGGCGTTGTACCAGGCTATGGCCCTGAAGTCGATGACATGAACAAGAATCGCCTCCTTCTTCAGTGCAGTAAATTTGCTGGTATCTCAGACAGACATAGAGAGAAAATATATAATGGTGTCATCACCTTCTCCGTATCCCCCGTTGTAGTACTGGATCCTCAGTTTGGTACAGCCACCGTTCAATGACGCGAGACTTCGGTTCAATTCCAAGTGCTCTGATCTTGTTCAACTTCACAGTGGTAATGTAATAACGGTCTTTTTTCCCCGCTCCTTTTGATTTTTTGGCAAGAGTACTAATAGCAGTATTGCTCTGGTCGCAGAGGGCCGTCCCGTCCTTGTCGTCGATGCTACCATTAGCTACAACAGTATTTACAGCCTCCACATTAACCCTGTCGTCTTCGCCATCCTTTTCCCTGTCGTTCTTATTCTCGACTTCGCCACCCTCAGAATTAGACGTGTTAATGCCACCTATAGTGTCCCTAGCAGTTTCGCTTGAGAACAGTCCAAGTGGTACTTTTTTCAAAATAATCACATTGTCATAAGCGCCACTGATGTTGTTTCCGCTGGTGCTTCCGTTCTCCTTCGGTGGAGTCACATAATCACCGTCAGACTCTTCTGGTTGTAAATCCACACACCTTGCGATATCTCTGAGACTTGTAATATCCGCATTCGCCAACTTATTATTGTCGCTGCTTCTACAAGGGCAGAGGCTCGAAACATCGCAGTCCTGTGTTACTAGATTTTGCGATGAGGTTCCTTCTCCCAAGATGGATATCACAGGGGTGGCCCACCGCTCTTGCACCGTCCAGGGCGAGGTTGGATACTTGACTGCTGGTGACCCATCTGACTTATTGCCCTTATCTCTAGACACGTTATCGGTGGCTGGTCTCTTCACGGCAGTTATGGCCGGCTTCAGATTATTTCGTTGATTATCCTGTTTTTGCAAACCCCGACGACTATTTTTCGTCGTTACATCGTGGTACAGCAGGGGTTTTTTCCGCACCATTGATGCACCCATGATGAAGAGATCGTCTATTTTTTGTATGGCGATCCCCACACCACTCTTATTGACGCAGAATGTGTTATATCAACCCTGCCGACCGCTCTTCTTAAACCCTTCTAATAGAAGATGCTATGGGGCCCCTTTCCTTGGGTACTGAAAAATCACAGAGAAAAGGAAAGTGAACGCGCATGTTTTCGCCACAACAACGCCCTCAAAAAGGGAACCTGTGGCAACAGTATCAGTCCTTTATCTTCTCTTGGAGAGAACTCTTCTTTCGTTTCATTCCCACCCTCCCAACACCTCGGAGCAGCAAATGCCGAGGTCCATCTCTACAGAACGCCTGTATTTTCTGTACCTTGTTGATGTTGCTATTTTCGGTAGTGTACAGTGTACCACAGGGAAACCCCAGTCAAACTACAAACTAAGTACTTTATGACACCCACTTTTTCACCAATCTAATCAATTTCTGGTGAAACCGAATGCCTTTCATCATAACAGCACCGTTCACATCACAAACACACACACACACACACACATATATATATATATATATAATCTAGTACAGCCCTAAGTGGGGAGACGTGCAGCGAAACTAAACTGGACCCACACCCCGCTAACTCTACGGTCACACTTGGCACCGCACAATCATCTCCTTCAGCGATTGGTATGCCATGTTGATTTCTTTAAATTTCTGCTCGGCCACGTGGTGCTCACTCTGCCCTGCCCCGGCCCACTTGTCGGGATGCCACCGCAGTGCCGCCTCGCGGTACGCCTTTGCAAGAGACTTTACGTCTAAACCAATGGAGCTGTCCAAACCTAAAACCTTGGCACAGTCTGCCTTCAAGGAACCTAATCCCAAACTCTCGTTTTGGTTGCTACCGCTGTTACTCTTTCCATTCGGCTTCCGTTGTGACCGGAAAAAACCAGATTGGTGATACGGATTCTTGGCATGAAACCTGCGCTTTTCGCTAGTGTCGTCACCGTTGCTGCTACTACTACCACTCTGAGACTCCTTCCGCCGCTCTTCCCTCATTTGTCGCATCCTCAACGCCTCGGCAAGGTGTTGTTGGTTCTCGTCGGTTGGAGCAAGTTCCACCGCCTTGTTAAGGTCCTTGATCGCGAGTTCAAGGTTGTCAATGGTTGAAGCGGCTCTCTGGGAGAAAAAGTGAAGATGTATGCGCGCTCGCCGTGAATAGGCCTTGGCACTACCACCGTTGATTTGAATGGAACGATGCACATCGCTTAGTGCTTCGTTCCAGCGTCCACCCTGCATGCAGGCCGCAGCGCGATTGCAGTATGTCACGGCAAGGAGCGACTTGTTGAGTGGGTCCAGGGAGAGACACCGCGTGTACGCCGCGTACGCCTCCCCCCAATCGCCGTTGCTATACGCTGTGTTGCCGCGATCGCGGTGGCGCTCAAAGGACATCACTGTGCGCTCCAGCATGGCGTAGCGGGTGTCCTCCACACCGCCTTCGCTCACCTTCTGCGTTCGGGCAGCGCTCACGAGCTGAAGCGCCTCCTCTGTAGACTTCGCATCATGCGCACAGAAAAACAGGGACTTGGCATGCAGAAACAGCAGCTCAGCATATTCAGGGTGCATTTCCCGGAGCCGCTTGATATCTTCTAACGCACGCCAAGGATCTAAGTGAAGAAGCGCCTCCAGCTTTCGACAGCGCCACGGCAGGCTCGCAGCTCCCGTCGAGCCGAACGCGCGAAGAAGCTGGTCGGCACACGACACACCGTCTATCCACCGACACTCCTTCATGTGAACATAGTACATTTCAAAGGCCCGCATCGCCTTGACTTCCTCCCCAATGGCACGCTCCTCTAATGGATCAATGCACAACTCGCGTGCAACACGGTAGTGACGCTTTGCCTCCTGAACTCTGTTTGCGTAGAGGAGCGCTTTGGCTGCCCGCCAGTGGGCCTTGAAGTTGGAAGGGGAGCGGTGCAGAACGGATTCACAGTCAAGGAGAGCGAGGGCATGTTGGTTCATGAACAAATATGCTGCAGCACGGTTGCAAAGTATAATATCGTTTTCAGGGTCGCGTTCAATAGCCTCACTGTATGCCCGCACCGCCTCCTCGTACTGCTTATTCTGAACGAGACGGTTGCCTTCCTCGCGGCGGGCCTGCACAAATTCGGCATCCTGATGGACGATGCGACGGGGATGAGCACTTCTTACACGACGCTTGTTGAGCAGAGTCCCACACTCCACGCTGTTCTCCCGAGATAGGCGGAGGCTGCTACTGCCGCGGCGATATAGCGGCTCTCGATCAATCGAAGAACGTGGTGTATGCGGCGCGGACGTGGAGGATGCCGCCACAGCCGTCATCGCCGCATCGATAGCCTCCGCAGCGGCTTCAGTGGCCTCCCTGAGCCCGGGAATGATGCTTTGCGACTTGCTAGTTTGTACATCTCGGCGCACTCTCAGTACAGGTCGCCGTGCCATGTGCGCCTTATTCACCGCCTCAAATGCGGGTGCGCAGGAGTTTCGTCTTTGCCTTTGTGTGGGTCGAACCATGCGTCGCACTACTACAGACACACCAGTACCCGACGCGTCAACAACCTCGATGCCCTTGGCGGGGAATTTGTCACACATCATCTCTTCTCCCTCGGCATCCTGTGGGTAGCGGTTGATGCTGTTGTTGCTGCTGTTTTCGCCGGTGGTAAAACGTCTATAATGAGTTTGTACGGTTGCAGGTCGATTCGTCCTCGGTCGCTCCGGGGCCACGGAGACTCCATAAACGCGGAAAAGATCTTTTTGCATCTGTTGGTGCCTCGACGGGGAAGCGGCAGAACGGCGTCTCTCAGTGCGCGGCGCACCGACGCTGCCGGGCTCCTTCCCCTGCCATTCATACATCCGGTGATGTGTGGGTTGTTCACGCGGTTGTCCCGCCGAAGAACAACGACGAAAGGACCTCTCATAATCACAGCCGGTGGGACCATGTGTGCCCAACGTTTGATCACTGTTGCAGCGCGCCTGACTGCTAGCGCCTTCATTGGCATCCGATGTCAAAAGCACCGGAGGGGAAGTGGTGTTAGTGGCGGAGGTCGACGATGTGCCTTCTGAGGTGCACTCCGAGGAGAGCGTGTTGAACTCGCTGGAATTCCTTCCCTCTTCCGCCACACGTGTCTCGAGACAATGAGCTGCGCTGCACTTCAATTCCGCGGCCTCCTGTAGCTCTTTTTCAAGTGCCCTCACGCGAGAAACATTTCCAGCATCACCGCTACGATTTATTTCCGCAAGAATCATGGCGCTCACCTGATCAAGGCCGCGTAACTGTCGTCGAAGCAAAAGCTCTTCTGTCTCAACTGCCTCCTCGGCGGTGTTACCCGTGTGGCTACAGTCTTCTTGGACGAAGGCCTCCACGCGACTGTTCATATCCCGCGGCACATTGACTCTCTTGCACCCTCGTGGGGCGCCTGGTGCCGCTTTGGCGCCGAGTGTCACCCCTGCGAAGCCCCAGTTGGAGAGACGTTCCTGCATCGCCTCAAGTCGCTCTTCGAGCGATTCAACGACAACCCACCGCAGGGCCCCACCTAAATGGCGCACACTCATTATTCCTAACTGGTAAACCAGAAAAGCAGGTAGGGAAACAAGAAAGAGAAAGAGAAAATGAGCGACCCGCATGCGCCGCCATTCCACTTCAGCTGGAGAAGAATCTAAAACTAAGACGACCACAGCAAAAGCCGCCACCACCAATGATGCAAGCGAACTGGCAAATTCGTATACAGCTTGAACGAGACGATTTACTATGCGCCTTTCCCACACACAAGAAACGGTGGTGTTGTCTACGGCAGTACTGTTTTCCTCCAGTGCTTTTCCAATGACGAAAGATGGCACAAAAACATCAGGTGGTGGGTGGAGGCCAGAATGTGGAGCACTAATATTTCATTTGGTTTCATGGCCCCCNAAAAAAAAACATGTTGTTGAGCACACCGCACACAGGAAGAAGAAGAAGAAACAAGGAAAAAAAAAAACAGAGTCGTAGATGCATACATAACTCTGAAAACAAGCACAATAATGGGAGAGAGGAGCCGCGGAGTTTTTGTGTTCGCGCATTCTGGGCAAAATGACCCAACTGAGAAATCGGCCAGCGAAACAAAACGAACAAACTTATTCCAAAAGGACTACTTCTACACTACCTTCGTGGTGGCTACGTTCTCCCAGGAGGCTTTGCGCCGCCCCCTGAAAGGCCATTCTCTTTGCAGTTATTCTCATTGCTCCTAGATTCGGCGATCATGTTCCTCACTGCTAAAACAAAAGAGGTTTGGTTGCTGACGCCACGTGTTTCCGCCGCAGCAGGTTCAACAGGAGTTGCACTACGCTCCACGGTCTCGGTCACCTCTTGCCTCCGTTGTTCCACAAGTGCAGTAAGCGAACTCCGGTTTTGCTCAATGTACTCGATCATTGTATCTACTATAGCAGCCTCCCCTCGTGGTCGGGTTGCAGAAAGACTGGTTACCAGCGCACCGCATATCAAATCGACGCCATGAGCATCTATATATCGTCCATCCAATGTGTCGCGAAGAACGGGACGCCGCCGAACTCCTCTTGGAGAACGGCTCTTAGACGACGCACCTTCCTCAGGTTTATCACTTTTGTGTCGTGAAGACACATGAGAGGCACCAATGCAGTGCTTTCCCCTCAATTCCTTTTGGAGGAAACTGAGAGTCTTCATAGGTCCGCCGTAGTTAAATAGAGTCAGCGATGCGGAGCGCCATGGCTCGTCCTTACAATCTTTTTGCCATGAAATCAACAATGCCAAGCGATATGCCTTGGCTGCCGTCATTTCGTCAGAGATGACAAGCGACCTTAAAAACAGGTCATACACTTCCACAGGGTCCCGTCCTAATACTCTGTAGGTGGGCACGAGCGCTGCACGGTGGATACCCACGCCGCTTTCACGACCCACAACATGAGAAACAAACAAGTCAGCGCCTTGATTGTAAGGCATCACTCGACAGGACATAAGCTTAGAACTATTCATACATAAAGTCTGTCTCGCGTCCGTCAACTTTTCCATCGCGGGTACGCTCCAACCAGCGGTCACACGTGGCACCTCGTGAACAAAAAGTGCGGTGGCACTCTGCGTTGTATGGCCCCCATAGATTGCTGCATATGTTGGAATTCCCACGCGGACGTCGCTCAGTGCCTTTCGCAGCCAACTTTCCCATGGAACGTTTTGCCATGGCCCTTGACTTTCATCAATACCAGTGCCTCCACATAAACGTCCTTTCGCCGCACCACCCAGTGACACACATCCAGTATCATTAGTGTTTACATATGTCACCATATTTGACGTTGAACACAATGGTATTTCCGGAGTGCCTTTTCCAGGCCGAGTGACAATAGGAATAGAGACACGTGTAATTACAGGAGACCTTGCAATGGGAGAAGACCAAGGAATCTCGTCGGATTGAATCAAGTCCCATAAATGATGTGCCACGAATGGCGCCCACTGCAATACACAGGATGCCCCATCCGAGGGCCTATGCAAAGCAGCAAAGGGAATGGGATTATGTTTCGGTGTCCATGTTTCAATGAAGCACACCTGGCCCACAGCCGACAAGGGAGCATGTAGTGATGTCACAGGTTGTGGAAGAAACCCTTCTATGGGACTCAAGAAGCGTTTATAGAGCAATTTCATCATCCTATGCCAGCGATATCGCATAAGTTTTCGAATTTTGTCACTCCTTTTTGGGAAACATTTCTGTCCTAAAAAACAGTGCAATTCATCAAACTCACTCATTTCTTTTTTCGCGGTATCATCAATAGTAATTGGTGTGGCTTTGATTATATTGCTGTTCACAACGTATGCATAGGTGCTCTTCGGAGAGGCTTGGCTGTACAGCACAATGCTTACAGCGTGCTTAGCGCTATATTCTCGTACCTGAGATGCAAGATTACCTGCACCGTTAACCGTAATCCAGCGTATTGTGGGATGCAGTGCCGGGGAGTGTTCGAGATCACCGAGAGGAGTCGTCTGAAAATTCAGTTGCGTGCTACTCCTCTTTCGGGGACGTGTAACGAGTTGCGATGCCACTAGTTCTTTCCCTGCATTATAGAGAAGTCGCCCCAGAGCAGTTTCAAAAGCACTGGAAATATCATTTTGCTCAATAAACCACTGCTCTCCTTCGGACCACAGTTTTTGCGCCAGCGTGTCCAACTCCTGGAGCAACACAGAGGTGGGTGGTGCCGCAAGGTAGCTCTCCATGTTGAACAAGAGGGAAGCGTGGGCCTCATGCAACCGTGACCGTACTTCCGCAGCCAAACCCTCCATCTCTGTGGAACTTCCAACAGCCGCAGACCACCGTTCCCGTGCAATCTCCCACGCCCGAGTTGCCATTCTCGTCTCTTGAAAACCTGGATCCAACAGGAAATCTTCCTCGAGGTGTGCGCACCCATCAGAGGTCCTCATCGCCCCACCTCTTTGAGTGATCTCTTGTGGCTTCATGCCGCTTTGCTTCTTTTCCGCATATCCTCCTTCATTAAGTGAGTAAAACGGTAAACAGAGTTCCCAGAATCGCACTGCGGTATCCTCTTTTAATCCCATTGAGGGCAATTCTTGAGATGTGAGCCTTTGGAGTAGTGCGTGTGCCAACTCACTCTTATCAGTACATCTTTCGGCCTCCTCCTCGTATGTCTCTCTCAAATGACGTGTCAACGACATAGATAATGCCTCGCTCTGCCATCGCATGGGGGTATTGATGACACTTAGAAAAAACTCGGATTCTGATTCAATCCATTTCAGTAGTGCTGGTTCTTCTTGCAATATGGTTGCAAGAATTTCTTTCAGTCTCCGTGGATCACGATCAACGTAGGCCACGATGGCCACCATTACAGGGTGCTCGCAAAATGACTGAGGGAAACTCCCCGACCGGTTCTTTGCAATTTTGTACAGGTCACGCAGGCCACGATGGCCAAGCTTGAACACATGCGGCTTCATAAAGCAGTAGAGATCACTGTCAGTAGAGGTGGTTTTTAGTCGCATATTTCCTCTGGAGCCAGCTGGTACCAATGAAACGAGAGGGTTTACCATCACAGGCACAGACACAGACGCAGGCACGATGGGAGGATCTGCACGCTGCAGTTGCTTGGCTGCATTCATCGCCTTTGCCTTTACGGCTCCAAGATCTCCCTTTAACATTGGCTTTCCCACAACAAATATAGTGCTCTTGTCAGGAACTGTAACGCTATTCTGCAACTGGCTGGCGTCACCGTGTCCCTTCCTTTTCGCGTATATACGCCGATTTCCCGCATACATCTTTAGAGTTTCACGCTCCAGGCGCAGTTCATCGACAGCAGCATCCACCAGCTGCTGTACAACACGTGGGGAGTGCACTGCGCAGCATCTACCAGCCACAGTTTTCAAGTACACCACCTCTGGGATGCCGGACGCAGACATCCTAAGAGACGCTTCTGGGTGTATATTACTTCGTCTCAAAAGGTCCTCTGTTGTGCGCGCTACTGCCCTACGCGGTCCGTCAGCCGACTTTTGCCACTTTACAACGAAAGTGAATGATGCTAGGGTACAAAATAGGCGCCGACTACGAAAAAAGAGATTCCTAACAGAAGTTAACAATAGAGGGCAAAAAAAAAGAACAAGGTACAACCATTCAAAGAAGAAAAACGCAACCGAGCTTACCATTGGCCCCCAAGAAAACGTCTGACTTGGGGCGACCTGACACTGAAAAGCAGTGCGAATACGGAATATTCAAACAGAAAGGGGGTAGCGGGGAGTTGCCAGAGCAGCAGTTATCACATATGGGGCGTAGGCAGAACATAAGTGCCATGCTAATAGAGATATATAGGTAGATATATATGTAGTTAATTATATAAACCTCACGCCAGTCTGACTGTGTTTCAGTGAGACCGCTTGCGTCTGTATATATATACCTATATAGATATCAATATATATATA